CGACATCATCGAGTTCAAGAACTGCGGCGCAATGGACCTCATGCGAGGAGACGGCTTCGTCTTCGGCATCCTAAAGGAGAGGGACGAAAAACCAGAAGGCGACGACGACCTAGCCAAGGGCGCAAGACTCGTAGTAGATAAAGAGCGCTGCTCGATCCTCGTCAAGACAGCCCGGCCCTACCCCTGCGTCTTCCACCGCGCCTTCGACCCCATCGCCCAGACGGACGAGCACTGGAAGCAGGGGCTCGACAACCTGCTCGAGTGCAAGTTCGACAGCCTCCTGACCTCGGGCGGCCCGGAGCCGCACACGGACTCCCAGAAGCTGCGCGGCATGATCGACCGCGCCCTCCCGGAGGATCTCGAGATCACCGTCGGGGGCGGCGTCCGGTCCACCAACGCGGCCCAGCTGATCACCGACCTCGGCGCCCACCGCACCAAGGACATCTGGCTCCATTCCTCGTGCCTCGTCCCCAAGGGGCCCTTCGAGGCGCAGAGGGAGGCCGTCGACCCCGACCTGCTTAGAGATCTTGTCGTGGTCATCGACCAGTTGCGGCAAAAGTAGAGCAGCCCTGCCGTCCACTGGTTGGAGCATTACGGACCGGATTATTCTGAAGATGGAGGAGGCAACGGTATGGAACGCCCACCCGAGGAGCACCAAGAGCGTGGTCTAGAGTGATGAAAAAAAGTATTGAGTTTCCATGAGCTTCTTTCTGAGCTGCCATTTTTCTGAACCTCTCCTCTCACTTATCTACTCTATCGACAAGCAGGGAATTGCTGACCGGCGAGTAGCCGCGCGAGAACTTCTTCCACAGTTTATTTACAGAGATGGCTATGTTGCCCAATGATATATCAGGGGTAGGTAGCTCAGCTGTTGTCTCCTCTCCCTTTGCTAAACCTAGGCACTCATATAGGGTTTGATCATTGTTGCCTACGAGGCCCTCGAATACCAAATATATTCGCTGATGAATTGACATCCTTCAAACCAGCTTGTCCATTGTCCGTGAGCAAAGTGTGTAGCGCCTAGGTAAGCAGAATTGGGAGCCACTGATATGCAAGGCGAGAACCACCAGCATTCAGCCTATACATCATTTCACTCAATTTCACTGTAGAACGAAAAGAGGTGCAATATCTAATTAATTATTCAAAATTAGGCATGGCTTCATGCTTCATACTTCATACTCTCTACAACATACAAGAACAAGGTATTAAAAGACTGATTAGTTCTTGGCAGGGCAGTCCTCGCCATTGCCAGCATCGCTCTTGCCAAGGCCAAGGCAGTTGGCAATCTTGTAGAAGATGTCGATGTTGTTGTAAGTACCGGAGAAGGTATCCTGGCAAGGGCCGCGAGCGTAGACGGCGACGTCAGTCAAAGAGTGGACACCCTGGCCCTCGCTGGTGGGGAGGGTTCCGTTGACCAAGAAACCGTTGACGGAATCCTTAGATTCGGCATAGTATTCACTGCCAATCTTGGAAGCGGGAGTACGGGGAGCAGACTTGTGGACCTTGTAGTCCTCACGGTGGTCGGGCATGGCACCGAAACCAGCAGCGATGGCGTAACGAGGCTCCCAGTTGACGGGGAAGCTGGCGCCAGTGCCGTAGTTGACACCATCAACAGGCTTGGTGTACTGGGACTGACCAGACTCGTGGTAGACACCAACGGCGCGGCGCTTGCCGCGGTTGTCCTGCTGCTCAGAGAGGTACTTGGTATCGGCAGAACCCCAGACATCGAAACCGTGACCGTGGTCAGCGGTTATGAGGACAAGGGTGTCCTCAAGGATGCCAAGCTCCTTGAGCTTGTCGGTAGTAGCACGGACGGCCTGGTCAAGCTCGAGAAGATCACCAAGAGCACGGTCGTAGTCGAGAGTGTGCATCTGCTTGTCGATAGAAGCAGCCTCGGACATAAGGAAGAAGCCCTTGTCACCACCACGGTTGGCAAGAATCTCAACAGCCTTGACGGTCATATCGGTGAGACCGGGGAGATCAAGAGCGGGGTCCTTGCTGCCGTTGGGGTGGTTCTTGAAGGCCTTGAGGTTGTCCTTGTAGACGTTGCGGTCGAGCCAGACAGGCATGTGGCTCTGACAGAAGATACCGAGAGCCTTCTCCTTGTTGCCAAGAGCCAGAAGAGAGGTCTTGTTGGTGCTGATGCTGTAGTTCTTCTTGGCAAACTCGGCATAGTAGTCCTTGCCCTGGTAAGAGGCAGAGTTGGGGACGAACTGGTCGGCACCGCCACCGAAGAAGACATCAGGACCGTTTTGGGAGGTCCAGCTGTAGTTGGTCATGCCGTTAAGGGCCTGGTCAATGAGAGCACCGTACTGGTAACGGTCACGGCTGTGGCCGGTAAGAGCAGCGGGGGTAGCATCAGACATCATGGCAGTGGAGACAGCACCCCAGGCACCACGCTGTTTCCCATGTTAGCATCATGTTCAAGTAGCAATTGTGAAATGTCTACAAGGCACTTCTGGGCGAGATTGAGGGCACTCACGCGAACGCGGCGGAAGATCTCAACAATGGTCTCGACCTTGGGGTCATCAAAGGGAGACTTGGAGGAGTCGACGTAAACACCCATGGCGTTAACAGTGCTCTTGTGGCCAGTGTAAAGAGCAGAGGCGGAGTTGGCAGAGTCGGTGATGTAGCTGTCGAGGGAGTGGGTCATCTGGTGACCGATGATGGGGAACTCGTCAAGCTTGAGCTTGGTCTGGTACTTGCCATTGATGGCCTGGTGTCCCAGCAGACGGGCGGCGGTGATCTTCAGGTCTGGTTAGCAACATGATTTCCTGGGGGCTATTGATCCTATTGGGGCGATTAAGAAAACATACCATGTTAGTGGTCATGCCATCACCAATGAAGAGGACGACGTTCTTGGCCTTCTTGTCCTGAACAAGCTCACGGACAGTCCAGGTGGCAGTGGTCTTCTCGCCACTGTAGTATTCGAGGGTGACGGTGTAGGTGCCAGGCTCGTAGAGAGCGAGCTTGCGGTAGGCCTTGGAGGCAACGTTGACAAGACTGGGCTTCTTGGCGTCCTCGGCGTAGAGATCCTCGTACCAGGTGAAGTTCCACTTCTCCAGCTCGGGGTCCTTGATTCCGAAAGCCGTGGAGAAGTCGCGGGGAGCATCGCTGCCCTTGGCGATGGTCACCTTGAACTGCTCATCGGGCTTGCCGTCGTGGGCAGCCTCGGAGCCGTTGACCGGGGCGTGGACCTCGACACGGAGGTCGAAGAGCTGTCCCGGGAGGAACTCGGACTGGTCTGGGGGCAGGACACAGCCGAGCTTGGGGCAGCCACCGAGACGCTGGTAGGTCTGGGCAGAGGCAGAGGCGACGAGGGCCGTCAGAGCGGCGATGTTGTTGAACTTAACCATGATGCTGGCCCAATTGTACACCTGTATGGACTATACAAGATGTGTATGGCTGACAGCAACTGTGAGCAAGATGAGGCGGAAGGAAAAGTGAGACACTGGACGCGGACACGACCACCCTTTTAAGTGCATCGTGCATAGGTAGATCCAGCTACTAGCCATAAGCACTGAGGAATCAAGCCGGGCCCGAGCCTGCAATAGTGACTCTGCCAAGGCGATCGAGGGCGTGGACGATCAAGACCGGGAGCTCGCCAAAACAGGAAGCTGGATTCTTTCCATGGCCCCGAGAAATTGGGCAAAGCAATCCTGGCGACGCAGCTGGCGAATTGTCCTATCATTGAGTTTGTGGAGGGTGGACACCCTCCATCGCGGACGGGAGCGCCAATGTAACTCTAACCCTTCATCGTCGTGGATGGGTGCACGTGTTGTGCATTAGCAGGGACGTGGGACCGCTGGACAAAAGAACGCAGAGACATGCGCGGTCCACCTGGGGCGATATCTGCGTTCGAGCTGACAGGGAACGTGCAGTCCGTGGGATTGTGATGGAGAGAGACATGCGGGCTGCTGCTCGCAGTATTATACATCTTCAGCTGTCCATAAAGGTTCTCTTTTGGTGATATTGGATGCTGCATGAAGGTCTACGGGCCGGTCGATGCTACCTTCCTAGTTACAGCAGCGTACATGCTTCTACGGCGATCCAAAGACTCCAAGGCAGGAACCTCAATGGCTGCCATCTGCCGGGCACGATACCTTCAGCCCGTGGAGCAAGCTGTACATGGGCATACGTAGTACCTAAACGGAATCTTCCACCCGTCTGCAGCCAAGAAAAATGTCGTTGCCTCTGGTTGCCCTCTGGGGAAGTCTAATGAATACACAAAAAAAACGCCTGCTACTCCTCTCCTCAGCCAACAACAACAGGCCACCGCCAACGCCGTCATCTTCTGTGGTCCAGAAGTTCCTGTAGCTGTCCAGGATTGTGCAAGCTTAATTTGGCTCGGCACGGGAAACCGACTTATTCCCCCCGGCCAAGGCTACCCCGTGCTCGATATTGCCCTTCCCATTGGTCGAATGCCCCCGGCTTACTTACAGTGGGGAGATTAGCTTCGCCTCTCAAACCTCCAGCCCAGATCCCTCGATGACGGATATGTCAGTGCATGGGAGAGCCGGCTACGCTTCACCCTACCCAGGCCCTAGTCGCCAGGCCGGCCGTAAACTTACTGGCTTTATTTGCTGGTCCGCTTCTATCGATATTTTGCCTCGCTGAGGGGAACAATGCAGAGTCCAGACTGCATGACTGTCCAACTCATGGTCTTGGGTTCACGAAGGCCTTGAGTTAGCCCTTGGACTTGCTAAAACGCACGTGGCCCTGACCATGCCCTCCATTTTGACTGCCATGTATGTTAAATTGCAGTGACAGGATCATCGTAAGGCTTGCGCGGATACGTGGAAGGAATGCGGCTTGGCAGGAGTCCAGTCAGGCAATATGCATATAACTAACCATCTACCTAAGCTTCTAGAAAAGCCCCAGTTAGAGGTGGCTAGCCCGATCGGCCCCATCAACTGTCTGCAACCTCGTCCCACTGCAGGGACCCGTTGCTGGTAGTGCCAAAGGCTCTATTGATTACTGGTCTTTCGCGCGATACCCTTCTAAGCCGAAGGCTGGCCATCAGGCCCAGCACCCTCGTGCGGCTTCTCCGTCCTCTCGGTTCCAGGATTACTGTTGTTATTCAGGTCCTGCCAGGTTCGCGGGTTATATTTTTCTTGGTGGTGCTCGCTCTTGAAGTGGTATCCTCTGGCTCGAGGTCTCTCTCCAGTGCCCGCCGGTATTTCCGAGTCATACACTGTGGCGAACTCCTGGACCAGCGCCTCAAACTCCTCAGGTCCCTGGGCGAGTGCCTCGCGGATGCCTCTGAAGAACTCTGTGAGAACGTGGTGGTTGTGGATCTGGAGCAGGGTCCATCCTAGCATTTCCTTGGCATTGAGCAAGTGGTTGACGAAAGCCCTGTGGTGCTTCTGGCATGCATAGCACGTGCAAGATTCAGCCAGGGGTGTTAGAGATATTTTGTGTTCTGAAGACCACATGTTCGTGCCAAGCGGCTGTATTCCCGTACCGGTCTTTGGGGCCGGGAAACTAAAAGTGAGAGCCACACCAGCATCGGAGACATTATTGACAAACGGTACCAAGCAAATGTCGATACCCAGAGATATTTGTCGCAAAATGTCTTGCGGGTTCTGGGGAGTGTCGAGGGACAGCTTGGGTAGGTGGCTGAACTTGAAAGCACCGAGTTCCGGCATCAAGTTGACGTCGTATACTGCGAGACCAGAGATGTCGTCCAACACCTCTTCTGCAAGATGTCGTAGATAGGTCCATTGGATTTTCCACTCAACTGGTATTAGCGGGGCAAAGATCAAAGATTCCGGCACGTTGGAGGTTATTCGTGTGTCCGCTTTCAACAGGCCAAGGAACTGGTCTAGCCAATCCTCGGTCCGCTCTGTCATTCTAAGTTGCTTCTTTGCAGCTGGTGCTTGGCTGGAATGGAGAAGGTCGGCTGGACCAACCACCACATCTGGCTTCAGCTTTCTCGCGGCCTCGGCATATTCCGCAATCGAAATACTACGGAAGCCTGTGGAGGTGAAAATGGCAAGCAGCTTGGAGGTGTTGCCCGAAGGTGCTGTGACGGCAGGACATCTCCTCGCGGCCAGGATTGTAGGTATTTCCTGTGGAAAGGCCGTGAAGGCATGGAGTGGCCGCGAGTCTTCGCCCTCGCCCTCGATCTCGTAAATGGCTGCATTGGGCTTTTCAACAACTGTATCCATGTCAGTAGGAGGTCTGGCTCTGGGGTTGGGAGAGACCTGCAGTCTTCGAGCGCCATATAGGTCGAGCTCAGGTCGGTATGCCTCGTCACATTATCGGGCGTTAGATGAGGAACGGCACCACGTGAAGCTACACTGGTAAAATTTGGCGTCTCGACTACTTTCCGGCCTGGCAGAGCCAGCTGACCCAGTCTCGCAGAAGTACCATCGCCCACAGCGGCACTTAGAATCTTGAATATCCTCCGTGATGCCATATCTGGATTTTCACAGGTTCCGTTTTCTTGTGATCTTGGCATGGCTCTCTTGGACCGTGAGAAGATCAAGACCAGGGCTCAGGCAACCAGGAAGTCGAGTGGTTGGAAAAACTGAACAGTTGACCTTGTCCAAGTTGAAGCCAGGATAAGTATTTACACAAGTCTGTGTATGCTCCTGTTACAGAAGTTTGAGACAATGTTTCTGCTTTTTACAATTTGTAGATATCACAAAATGTCTTGTCCGCTGACAGCTGAGCAGGGCTTATGACAGCCCCAAGTGAGCAAGTGGTGGTGTAAAGACACTACAGTACAACGCACAGTGTAAGAAGATTTTTTCGACAGTGTCTCCCGAAGTACTTCCGCCGAGTAAACATCCATCAGGGGCCTAGATCGCTGTGGGTCTGCTTATCTTATCACGTTATCAATAGGAAGATACTGCTGTCATGGGTTTCACAATCTCTGCGCTGCATGCCTGACACTCGCAGGGCCAAAACCATGATTCTTTCTTTCTTGGCTATGACGAATTCTCCTATATCTATTTGAACAGTCTCCTCTCGCCAGCACGTCCTCATGTCATGTTCCTGACCGTGACAGCTCATGCAGGGACCAACTGTGGAGGCATTGTGGATGTCAGCGCCGGAGGTCTGGCCAATTATGCCTCAGCACTGACCAACGTTGGCAGAAGTAAGACAACCAGTTGCTGCATCAGCTGTCACTCTCGCGCGGCACGAGATGGATTGTTACACGGAAAGAAAGGCTGCTTCGACATGATATGAAATAAGCCGCCCATCCTCTGACAAATATCTAGCAAAATGGCAAAATTCAATCATCGCAGCCTCAATTCTTACGCCGCCGAATCAGTCCACATCTGCCCTGACTCTCACCCCGCCAAGGCTTATCAGATCCCCACCAGAGCGGATTTATTGGTTGCATCCCGCTAAGTCCAGCCTTCCAGGGCAGGTAGATCGATCCCCGACTGGACTGTGCCTCGACTGCCGCTGGGCAATTAGTAGTCTCCCAGTTCTAGGTTTACCCTCTAGGTTCGATTTCTCAGCAGGATGGTCGTCTATCACGATGAAGAGGATCAACCACTCATGACCGACATAGAACGACTCGACAGCGACGCCGCTGTCACCGCCCAGCGCGGTGATGCCTCTCCCAATGCGAATGTCGCTGACCAGAGCGATGCGGCTCATCCGGATGCGCCGCTCGATCAAGTCAACACCACCACCAACAACCACAATTCCGCCATCGCTGCCACTCCTGGCGAGGACAGAGCCAGTGTGCCGCTGGAAATAGACCACGACGACGCCAACAACAACAGCGGCACTTCGACGCCGCGATTCCTCCAGGACGAGAGCACATGGAAGCACTGGAAGTGGGTTCCGTATCCCGTCCGCCGGGTCTTCAAGACCGTCGCCAAATGGTCCCGCGGCCCCGTCAGCCCTCAACCCTATCGCATACGGCCCTTCTTCCCAGCCGTCCAAGAATATCCCCTTCGCCTATCCGACCGCTTCCTAGCTGGTCACAAGCGCCGCTTCTGGGTCCTCTTCTTCTACTTTTCAATCTGGCTCGTCATCTTTGTGCTGCTCAAGAGGCAGGAGACCCTGTCAAGCAGCATCCCAGACTGGGGCGAACCCCAGAACATCGGCTGTGGTGTCTCGTTTTGGTCCGCTGATAACGGCTGCAATGTCAATGGCAATGACTGCCGCCCTTTCAATGACAGCGGCTTCCCCTTCCGCTGCTCGGCACATTGCACCAGCTACAAAGTTCTGAACCCCCGGGCGGTTGGCGACCAAGAGATCGTATACCGGCCCTTTATCATCGGTGGCCCTTCGAGCAACGACCAAAGCATTAGCGATGCCATATACCGCGGCGACTCTTACATCTGTGGCTCTGCCATCCACGCTGGCCTTTTCTCAAACGAAGAGGGGGGTTGTGGCATTGTGAAACTTGTCGGTGAACACCATGATTACGTCGCTAGCGACCGGAACGGCATCTCGAGCATCGGGTTCGACTCATATTTCCCTCTGTCATACGAATTTGTGCCCGATATCAAGTGCTCAGCAACCGACATGCGCTGGTCGATCCTCGCATTGGGTGTCGTGTTCACCTCGATCCTATCACTCTTCACCTCGTCGCCGGCTCTCTTCTTCTTCCCCAACTTTGTCGGCATCTTTTGGACTACTGGTATGTCCACCGACCCTCCAAATATAAGGGTCGTGGCCGCGCTCTTCTCCAATATATCAGGGAAATTCCTACCAGCCATGTTTGTCGCATGGGTCATATTTGACAAAATGGGTGTTCGCCGCACACTCGGCAAACTGACTGCCCAGATTGAAAAGACAGTCCTCTGGCTTGGCCCCTGCTGGGTTGGTGCCTTGAATAACTACACACTCAGTTTCATCCCTATCCAGAGACTGAATGCCCACGACCTTCAGCAACAGCCCGGCGCCAAGGCTGCACTGGCCATAATTATTCTCATCTTGATTGTCATTGTCGGGTTCCAGGCCTGGTATTTCCGCGAAGAAGGTCGCTTCCTCAAATACATCAAGCTCTACGCCCTGTTCATCGGCAGCATCGTCATCTTCCTCCTCATCCCTGGTCTCAACTTGCGACTCCACCACTACATCCTGGCTCTGCTATTATTGCCCGGAACGAGCTTGCAGACCCGCCCGTCCCTCATCTACCAGGGCCTTCTCGTTGGGCTGTTCATCAATGGCGTTGCGCGATGGGGGTTCGACCCGGTGCTGCAGACCTCAGCCGCGCTCCGAGGGGACGCCCCCCTCGGCTCGGCACTCCCCACCATCCTTCCCCCAGTCATCCAAATGGCGGGTTCCAACACCGGCAGCTCAAACATCACGTTCTCGTGGGAGCCAACCAATGACCGAGAGATAGACGGTGTCAGCATTCTCGTTAACGATGTTGAGCGCTTCCGCACCTATTTTGAAGATAGCGAGGACCACGAGGCTACCTTCACCTGGACCAGGGAGGCTGATCTGGGCATGCCCGAGTACTTCAGATTCGCGTTCGTGACGGGGAGTGTGAGCGGCGACTACACCAAGGCTGGAACTTGGACCAAGGATGGGGGGTGGATCGAGATGGGCCCCGGCCCGTCCAAGGCCAAAGCACGAAGTTTAGATGGCAGTGAGAGATTCCACATCGAGCGATAGACACTTAGATACGTACAGATTTCAAGCTCAGGTAGACATAGAAGCACTGTTGCAACGTTCATCACCAATCCAATCAGTGAACCATGGCCTCCTCATTAGACGCTGTTTTGGGAAGCGCATGAGTATCCCTAATATCATAAAACAACACCTAACAACGAGGAAGACACAGATCTATCATTTTAAAGAATCAGCTTAAATTCAGAGGGCCATTTCGGCAGCTTTTATTTTCTTCTAGCTAGCTTTTGGGAAGCATTTCTCTAGAGCTCATTGAGCAAACAGGAAGTTCCCTAATATCGAATGACTAGCCGACGAATGCCATCATCCATTTTTGAATCCACGAACCTTGCAAATCCTGCGTAAACCATCCTATCCGTACATACATGTGCCCCAGTGGCATCAAAACCATAAAGGGGTAGTTTTTGAAGCAATAGAAGCGATTATAGCCCACATCAGTCATGCGACCAAAACTGTGTCATATCCACATCAAGATTTGCTTCCAATGGTCAAAATCCAGAGCCTCCCTATCTCAAACGCCAGCCCATCCTATAATTCATCCAGCAAATCAAACTCAATCATGTTCATTCAGTATTCGGGGGAATGAATATTTTCAAACTCAGTGCTGTTCGTGTAGAGGCACTTCGAAATTTAAATTTCTCCGTCACCAGCATCATTGAGCAGATCACCGTAGAGAGAGTCATTCATGTCCTCACCACCCATGTAGGCGTTGACGCTGAGTTGAGAGTAAGGGTGGGAGTCCAAAGCTCGTCGATCAGGTTTCTTCTCGACAGGGGCGACAGGGCCGAAAATTGAACCATTGGGGTGGACAAGTTCGGATGATTCACCCTCAGAAAGGGAGTCAACACTGCTCTGCGGGTTGTACGAAACTGCTGCGTCGGCTGCGATAGTAGCGGCAGCACGGGACGCAGCTTGTCGCGATGGGGTAGCAGACTTCCTGCCGACAGTCTTCTGTCGCTTGCTTGGGGTCTCCTGGTCTAATTCGGAGAAATCTTCAGACTCCTCCTCAATGGCCGAGTCCTCTTCCTTGATATAATCATGGGCCCGTTTAGCGGAGGCTCGGGGACGAGAACCCTTCGAAGGAGTTGCCTTGGAAGGTGTACGCTTGGTAGGAGTGCTGGTGACGCTTCCACCGGCAGAAGGAAGGCAGTTGGCAACATCTCCTCCGGCAGCCTTGACCTTGCGAAGGTGGTCTGCATCCTTCTTGATGGTTCTGAATTGAAACTGAATGCCATCAGGGGTTGACTGGCCAAAGTATTGAGAGATATCTATGAGTCAAGAGTTAGCACCAACTCGACATCATCAATGAAAATCCCATGGCCATCCTCGGTAGTATTGAGTCGTTGCGTACTATTTTTCTCAACAGTGGCTTGCGTCTTGGGCAAGTCTTCGACGCTGAGATGTTTCATGTCGAATCCGGCATCCCTTCCGTGGCGAATGATGACTGCTTCAGCACGCAGTCGTCGGAATCGATGATTGAGAGCATCCTCAGTCATATCGCTCCCGAAGGAGGCGACAATCTCTAAGGAGACCAGATATGTCAACCTTGAGTGTCCAGAATGCAAGAACTGTTATGATGGTGATGGAATGGCGACCAAGAAACGCGTTTGAAGTAACGCGTGTGGCCAAAGGATGAAAAATCATAAGCAAAGTTCAGTATCTGTAAGCTTACCTTTGTAGTTCCATTTAACTTCAGGATGGGCAGCGACAATGGCCCGGATAAGGCGGGCCTGAGCCTCGTAGGACTTGTAGTTTGCTTTGGCTTGCGGTGCCATGGTGAATGGTCTGCTGGAAATCTCAAATTTTGATCAG